AATACCTTTTATTTTCTCCGGCTCAACAAACCGTGTCAGCAACCATAATTTCCATAGTAGTCTCGATGTCATAAGTTTCACACAAACACGAATCACGACGATGGAGTGAAAAAAAAAGAGTTGGAATCACCACCCTTAAATCTATTTAGTTAATGAGTGTAGATTTATGAGGTCGAGCCCATTAATATTATCAAATCACTGAATAAGTGATTACATAAATTAATTTCGTATTTATTATGTTAAGCGCTTATTACTCGCATGCTAAGCTCAGCGAAAGAGATACCGTGGACAAAATGCGGCCGCAATGTATCCACACACACATACATGTAAATACACAAACCCCGGATAAATATTTGACTTCGAAAACGATAACTAAGCAACCGATTCAAATCCACTTGAATTTTCGATGTTGTTGATTCTTTTGGGTCTTTGTTTTCGCTTCGTTCTCACAGTTTGTTCTATTGGGAATTACAAATAGGCGCCGAATAAGTGAAAACACAGACTGAATGCGATAGGATAGAGGATAGAGAGGGAGAAGGAGATAAAGTTACAGTGCTGGATATTGAATTTTGCTTTTCGACTCTCTATTTTCCTCACTTCATGTTCGTGTAAACAAAACGATAAATTCGCTTCCGAAAGTAAACAAAAGAACGAAATCTTCGACATCCTCCTTAGATAGTGCCGACGATGAAACGGTAGACAATTGTTGCCAGCACAAAGGTAATAAAAATGATAGGTTTTTTTTCTCGCTCACTGTTACGCTTCCACCCTATTCAAAATGGTTTTTGGTTGGTGCAAGTTCTCGCACTTGTCACTATGTTATTTTGACCGTAACATTCAATGTAAATATCGCTTTTGTCTTTGTGCGCGTAAATAGGCCGTAATTTTTGAGCAAATAAAATATAATGATGGTACGGTTTTTTTTCTCTCTCTGCCGTTCTGCTTGTGGATTCGTTGCCGCCACCACGGGGCAAAATGCTGTTGCGATGTAGTAAACTGATAAATGTCCAATAAATAATGAGCGCATTTTTCTTTGCCCACAGCATAAAAAGCCGTATTCCATCGTGTGAAATAAACTGTGAACATCGATGTTATGGGCTACGCTTACCGTTCTCACAACATTGAGAGATCGGCTGAAGCGAAAAAAAATATACAAGCCAAAATCACATTACTGAAATGTGATTTCAATTTAATCATTCGTTGGCGTTTGCCCCCCGGAGAAAGAACTTTTTATATCCTTGATATGTATAGAAAACGGAGTTTGCTTCATGGAATGATAATAATAACGGGAAAAAATGCGAAAGAGGAAAGAGGCTAAAAATATTATAAATCGAAATAGCTAAAAAACGGCTATTCTTTCCCTTTCTCACGTGCTCGCACACACTAACCTATGTCACTCAAATTTTATTGAGAGACATGCATGGCTGAATGCTAAGCAACAGCATTCACGGCAATTCTCACACTCGGTATTTTCATTTGGTTGTATATTTCACACGTCGCTGTCATTGTTTGAAGATGCTACCATTTTCTGTTTGTGGCTTGTCACACGTCATACTTCTTTTGCTTTTCTCTACCACCCTCTTTCACTCCCTTTTAGACGAGTTTGTGTTTCTGTGTGTGTGTGTGTGTGTATCACCCTCCCGAAATTGATTTAATCGCCGTTGCGAAGCAAGCTTGGAACAATAACAAAAGCCAACTCATTTTGATAAGACAAACACAAAGCAGAAAAGCCTCAGCTCAACTACCAAAAACACCGCGCGAATGAACTATTTAACGATAGAAAATAAGAAACGTCTTTTGTAAATGGGCCTGAAAAGAATACAGAGATTTCGTTTATTGGAAAACGCAGTCGGAACATCTCATTATTGCCAGATGATACTGATAAAAACTGGCTGGAATGCGATTTGCAAATACATTACCATCCGAGAAAAATTGGTACGAACCGCTTACATAAAAAAAAGACGATTGCGATCGCTAATCAAATGAGTTACAACCAAAATCTTTGAGAGTCGTTTTGTTTGTCGGGGCGGCGTTTGTTTTTTTCTTCTTCTTGTGCCATTTCAACTAAACGAAATTTGCATTCGAATTGAAATTGCCGTAAAATCAACGATGTGTGGCGCGTTCCCCACGCTCTCTCTCTCCTTCTCGTTCTCCACATTTCGCATTTCAGCAGTTAACAGATAAAATCTTCTCTTTTTTTTCTAATGACCTTGTAAATTTTCAAACAAATAAATTTGTGTACCGGCCGCGTATTTACATTTCCATAACTGTTTGTTTATGTGATAAAGATAGCAAGCGCTTCGTTTGATGTTATCCTGCCTGAAAAACACGAGTTCTGCATGTAGTCGAGACAAAAAAAAAATATCAGAGAAAAAAATTCATCGAACGCGAGCGCACATACACGAAAAAAAGAAACAAAAATGGAAATAGAGGTAGCAATCCTAATGGGGTAACCGAAACCATCGTAAGGTAATGAATGTAATGCGTTTTCATTGTCCCCAGAGAGCAAAAACTCAGCGCACGTTTCGCTTCGCATATTCTGAAATGCGAGAGAATAATCAAGAGAGTGAGCTGGAGCATTTCGGTCTTACTTTATCAGAAATATGCTGATCGCTGTTTGTGTATGCACAAAATTATAAGGTTATTGATTGATTTTCAATGAACTGAACGTAATTCAAACACATACACATCAAATTAACCCAGGCTAAGAGCAAATTCATACACAGATAACGACCGAATTGCATGTTTACATCGATGGACGTTCTCTGTGTGAGTGCGTTTCTTCTCGATGCGGTTTTTTTCTGCTATGTTGTTGTTCTTCGCAGCCAGTAAATAGTAAACGCACCGATAAAAAAGAGTTTATTTTTAGCATGATTAGATTTGGGTTTTGCTACTGCGTTAATCGCCGATCCAAATGAGATTTTACTTTTCTTATTTTTCTCGTTCTTTTTCCGCTCTCTATTCATGGATCGAGAATGTTTGTTCATTTCATTTTTGTGTGTGTGTGTAAGCCACACAGGCCGCGATTTAGGTTAATACAATCAAAATGTCGCGGTTGAACTGATTTGCTTGAATTGTTTAACATCGGCTGTCAGAATCGAAGCCGGTAGTCGGCTATACGAATAGTTTGTTCGGAATTACTCCAAACTATCAATGATGTTTTAAAAAAAGTTCAATTTATATCAAAAAACGTTCAATGATTCTCCATTCAAAGAATGATCGATGCTATAATTGCATAATTGTGTCGCTAAGCATAAAAATGGGAATACAGATCTGTTACAGCAACAACCGAACATAAAATATTGTTCCCTAAAAACGTTACATGAATTTCCATCTAACGCGAGTGTAACATGAGTTGCATTAGAAACAGTATTAGCTCATGTTACACTCGCGTTGGATAGAAATTCATGTAACGTTTTTAGGGAACAATATTTTATGTTCGGTTGTTGCTGTAACAGATCTGTATTCCCATTTTTATGCTCAGCGACACAATTGAATGTTGTAGACTCTATTTCCAACATTCAACTGATCGTTTCGAATGATTCCGAACGATAATCATCCAACGGTTTTTGTAGATTGTCGTAGAATACTGACACAGATCGCGACTTTTAACAAAAACATGCCAAAAACAGCATAAACAACAAACTTGCTGCGTTTCCAAGGCAAGCGTTTGAAATATTCAATATTTAATTTTCATCAGTTCCATTTTCAATTTTAAATAACAATTTTGCGAGCAGTAAGAGGAAGTTTATGCGTGTAAAAATTTCTCAAAATAAATATGAACGGCTGTAACATTCGCGACATTTTACAATGTGATTCTTTTCGTAGCACTTTTGCCCTTTCGAAAAACTTTGTTTGCTATTATGTGAACTTATACGAGATGCTATGATATGACGAAAGAGAGAGAGAGAGAGAGAAGGAGAATAAAATGTGCATTTTTTCTCGCATTTTTTGCACATAAACTGTACTCGATATAAAAGAGATAAAATTCCCATGCAAAAGGCAATAAAAAAAAACAACGTTTTCTTATTCGTTTTCTACTCTAGTCGAGGAAAAGAGAAAGAACAAGAAAAAAAACGACAGAACACAACATCGAAATATGTTCTCGTTCTATTCAGCCTTTTCAGCTGGGTTGTTCCCAACGAATACGCAGTCATTCGGAAATTCCCAATTTAAGATGCCAAGAAAATAATAGATCGTTCTCACACTTATCGAGAGCGAAACAAAATAAAATTGGTAGCGGTAATTCAGAAATATGAAATGCGCACACGATAACATCAGAATGATACCGCACCGCACTCGGAAATAAATTAAAACCAACAACATGCCGAGTTTCAATTTGTTCGACAAAAAAATCCATGCTACACAGAATTGAACCAGATTCGGTGGTTTACCTTGAATATTTAGTCACAACAAGCAGCTTCATTCTCCCTCTCCATCTCTCTTTCGCGCTCGTCGTTTCTTAGTCGACCGAAGCATGTTGTGCGTGGTATACACAATTCAACAAAAGAAAAAAAATACGAAAATACACAGAGAAACGCAATAAAAACGAAATAAATCTAATGACCAACATTTGTTGAGTGAACAAGAAATTGAAAGCACGTCTATGAATCGAATGCTTGTCCATACACACTGCATTGAACAATCCATCCAATTCGATGTCATCATGACCGCAGGCCGTGCAAAATGATTGAAGAAGTGTTTTTGTTACGCTTTATTCAGAACTGATGCTAAAATACATATTTGAAATCGAATCGAACCAGTTTCGAAGAGACCGTTGCAAAGTTTTCCAAACTGAACAAAACAAAATGCAACCAACAACTTATCAAATTAAAGTGTTGAATTTAATTTTCAAGTTTTGCATGAGTATAAACAACACGCTCACATACAGACATACAGACACAAATCAATTTTGCAATATTGCAAGAAGAAATGAAACAAAAGAATGGACAAACAACTGAGAAAGAAAACAAAACAACAGCAACAACAACAACACTTACGGTGGCTTGTTCGGTGCAATTCAATATGCCGTAGAGATCTTCATCGGCGCTTCTTTGGTAATTGATTATTTCGTCAACGGCACTCATTTCTAATTGATTGATAACGCTTTTATTTTTCTTATAAAAATAAAACCAAAACGATTTAAATTTTCTCTCCGCGTTTTTCGTATCACCCAACTGTTTTAACTGTTTGAACGAAAGGAAAAATGAGCACAAACAATTTATTTTGTCTTTAAATTTTATTTTGCACTTGAAATAACTGGGAGTGGGGGAAGACGAACTAGTTTTAGTTGTTTTTTTTTTACTTGAAAAATTTAACACGTAAATTTGTGCGATAAGAAGAAATTTATTTTGAAGTGAGGACAAGAATTGACTTTCACTTGTACAAATATTCGGTAATTACTTTAAGCATTTCTCTTTGAGGTCAATCGAAGCAAAAATAAACCTCTAGAAGAAACATTTAAAATAACCGCAAATATTACTCTTTTTTGAACAGCAATAATCGGCCAGAGAAAGAAGGGAAAACAACAGTAAATTTTGTTTCGCAAATGGAAAATTGATAAAAACAAAAACGTTGAAATTGAAATGCAGAACTCGAAATCGTTTTCGTACCAAGCAACTTGTTTGTACTCAATTGTTGTGTGTTTTCGTTACAAACGAAAAGCGTTCACATCGAATGTGGAAACAACAAAATAACACACTTGGAGCCCAGATGTACGTGAGCACCGTGCTACTGATCAAATTCAACTGACAACCGATACAACCATAGTCAAAGTAAAAACCAAAACCATACTTAGTCATGTAGCAGCAGCCACAGCAGAAACAGCAGCAGCAGCAGCAGCAGCAGCATCAATAGCAACAGTCGAGTTAGCCGAGTATTTCAGTACATATATACATGCATTCTACTCTGTGCGAAAAGAGACGAGGCGAGAGTGAGCGAATGAGTGTGAGAGAGAAAAAACCAGACCCATAATGGAACTAATAATGATATTGTATGGAAAGTAAAAGACAGTAACTTTCGTAAGCATCACATCAACAGACATCATTCAGATATACGGTGCTGTGATTATTATTTTATACGTCTACATAGCACTCGCACTCACTCTCATTGTTTCGCTAGATTTCTCTGTCGATTACACGATTTTGCGTATCGTTCCATCTCGTTCGTTCGTTTGCCGCTCTTTTCTCCAATTTCTTTATATCACCATCTCTCTGGTTTGTGTGCTTCTCCAACTTCCATCCAACAACAAACGTAACCATACACCGACCGAAACAGCGACACGAATCAAATTCTCCCCATATATGTATATAAATGTATTTTCAGTATCACACAACACATTGCAACAGCAGCGTATGTTTCAATTTCGATGCGATAAGAGCTATTGTTGTTGGACTTTGTCGCCATCCATTCGATGGTGTTCGTGCGTATTCAATATGATGTTGACAGGAAGAAAGAGAGAGAGAGAGAGACAGCGACTATGTTTATAGTATGATGTTATGTATATGCGACGGTGTGGCATCAGTGTATGAGTGTTGGCCGAGTGTTGAGTTGAAGAGTAGCTTTTAAGCTTTTTTCCCGTTCAAATGTGTCCCGCATCAATAGTATTTATGTAACGAACTTGATATGCGATAGAGGATTTTCGCGATTTTGGAAATCCTCATATGTCTGGATGTGTACTCTCCTCTGCTCTAGAAATAATCACTCTTCCTGCTCATTGGCTTGTTCACATTTTATTTATTAAATCTGTGCTCTTTTTTTCCCATTTAGTTTCGTTTTATTCATATATGCGCATTGTTTTTGCTTTGTTCGTTTTTATTTTTATTTTTGTTGCTGGTGTGATGTTGTGTTTTTTCTCTCTCTCGTTCTTTTGTGATTGGGTCTTAGTTATCACTTCACAATGGTGAACAACAGATGAGAAAAAAAAACAGCATATACTTTAATCGTCGCCGTTGAAACTGTTGATAAATGTGTAAATATTTTCGCATGCGCTGACATACATTAACATCCCACCTTCTTCTATGTGCTTATTTTTTTTTTTTTTTTGGTTCAATCCATTTCGTTGATTTTCCTCTTGATTTTTCCCATCGGTTGTAATTTTTCTTCTTCACACATCGTCTTTGGCTCTCTAAGTCGGTAGTTGTATACATGCAAAATGGTTGTTTTCATTAATCAAACCATGAACACCAATCAAATATAGCGTATATACATTCACATGTAGCAGCCAGCCAGCGCATTTCATTTCAGCCAACGATTGATTTATTAAACAAATGGAAAATGATTTGTATGCCGTTGTTTTGCGTCCGACGTCCTATATTATTTTATTGATGTAAATAGTAAGCATGTGGTTGGAATTTGAAAAATACGTTCCGTTTGTTGTTGTTGCTGGTTTTGTTGTTTGTTTCCTGACGCTAATAAGCCTTATTATCAATGGAATCGATCGAATTTTGACTCCATTGACAATGCCACGGTGTAAAATAATTGAACATGTTTTGTTTTATAAACGATGTGATTTCGACTTTGGTTTCTCATTTCCATTCCTTTTGTCTAAGTGAACTGTTTGTCTTTTGTCTGAAATCATCGAAAATGTTCAGTTGAATATGTCCCGAATGTATCATTGTTTGCGACAAAGGAGATATTCTTCTGTGAAGTTGATCGTTGTTTGAAACAAACAAAAAAAAACAGGACGATTCATAAAGGCGCCGCTTATATTTTTTTATCATTCATTGTGCAAAATTCCATTGTTCAGTATCATTTCGTCACAATGCCAGGAAATTCTACGAATATCCGTGAAAAAAATTACACGCGGAAGCATATCGCACATTTGAAATTTGGGAAATTGTTGGTAATCTGTTTATGACGCGGTGACAATGTAACTTTCATTCGGTATTTGTTGTTTGAAACTATTTTATTTTGCGCGTATCGCATAATATACCAAATATGGTAGCATCGGTATTGACTCAGTGTTCGCAATGAACTCGCACCCAGTTCCCATACCTCATCAATATACTACATTAACAAGGCATATAGACTATTTTTGTTTTTGTTTGGAATTGAAAATTTTTCCGCACAAAGATCTTAATAGGATTAAATGCTACGCACACACAAAACACTTGGAAAACATCCACAACAGCATCCATATTTTGTGATGCTGTTGCTCGACGCTGAGTGCTGTTTTTTTTTTGCTCGTTCGTGTCAGGGAAATTTTTTTTGTTTTTGGTTTGAAAATCAGTTTCATTAATTGGCTTATGGGAAACACTTTAAGTTTTCCGTTGAACGCCTACCAATCCGTTGACGACTCCGTGCCAAGTGTTTACACACATTTATGACATACGAATTACTTGATTGGTATAGTAGGCATCAGAACGGCGATGCTACCGAAATGTGTAGAGTGGAGACGGGCAAAAATTGTGCGTGTGTCGTTGTTTTTCCGTTGAGGAAAAAAATTTCCCCATACGATACGTTGTGCGCTTTGTTTTGTTTTTCACTTCATTTTTTGTTGTTGTTGCTGCTGTTCAAATTTGACCGAGGCAAATGTCGCCAACAGATTAGGCAAAATAACAAAAAATTTATCACAACTACATAGTAGTGGTTTGTTCACACTCGGCTCTTATAATTGTTATATGTTATACTTTATGAATATAATTTAAATATAGAACGAATATTGCTGCAGCCGATATAATAACATGCGCCATACAGTTATTCCTTCCAATGTGAAATGTGAATACTGGCGCACGCGGACCCATACAATCACATCTAGTTCAAGCAAGCACACACACACACAAACCCATTCACTCCCGCACGCGATAGATGTGCATTAAGGCGCGCTCTCGAGACAGAGATCGAGAGAGAGAGAGATCGAGAGAGAGAGAGAGAGAGAGAGTGGCAATTCGGAAAAAAAGTTGCGCTGTTCGCAAAACATTTTCGACGCTTGTACGTATGTGTGTAGTTGTGATTGTGTGTCCCAGCCTCATATGCGATCAGTGGGAAACAGATCCTCATCTCTCGCCACACAATAGAAAATAGGCATATCGACGGTTGATCGTCGTCGCTTCTTTGGGAAATCAATTCAGTCAGGCTAAAACATACAAACAGTGCAGATAGTTAATTAGAAAAAAAGAGAGATTTCATTTTTTTTTCGTAAGAGCTATCGCTATCCATTAATCAGACATTTGTAGCGCCTATTTTGAATCGTTAGTCAAGCGCTCCAATTATCGTGAACGAAATCGCGAAAAAAAAATAATTAATTTTATAAGTGATTTATGCGCCCCGTTTCAATGTGGTCGTTATTCACGGAAAAATTGCACATTTAAATTTTGTTTGTTTTTTTTTTCTGTTTGAATTTGAAAAAAAAAATCCGTTCGCATTCAACCTGTTAATCGAATGCTAGATGAAATTATCACATTGCGAGGTATTTCTGTGCATTGATCTGAAGCTCTCGTGTATAACGTAAATAAAATTGGTGTGAAAAGTTTTCTCAATATCGATCCTATCCCAAGAAAGATAGGGAAAAAAGTCAAAAAGAAAGAAATCGAATAGATATCATTTGGCTGTATTGAATCGATATAGAGCGATTGAAATTTTTGTGAGTGCGGCTTTTATGTGAATTGAAAGGTATTTATCTGACGGAATCCTATACGAAAAGTGCATGTTGTGTTTTGTATATAAAAGAAATCCCATTGTTACAAAGAGGAAAATTATTTTATCGTTATAAAAGGCAAAATTCAATCGTTTCCAATATTTGTTGTCACTAAACAAGTTTTCTTTTCCTTTGTGTTCGTATGTGTGATTGTGTGTAATCGATAAATAAGTTTGTGTGAACAAAGAAAAATAAACACACCAAAAATGGCAGACATCGAGAATCCCGTCGAAAAACCCGAAACCTTTACGGATGATGATAAATTCGCCGAAGAGATCGTGGAAACTGGGGTGATCCGGAAGACAGTGACGCGAAGCATGCGCATTCAAGAGGTAAATTTCCCAGTTGATATACAAATTGATGTTTATGATATTGTGTGATTTAATTGGCTACAGATCAGATGATTAAATTATTAAGGTCTGTAAGGCCATCAGGCACAAAATTAAGTCAAAATGAAGAGAAGAACAAAAAATTAATAAATAAATAGAACAGGCGCGAGACTCACATCACATAAATTTTAAACTGATATCCGAACGCTTGGATATTTGCACGTTTTTTGCGGGTCGTCGATTATACACACTTTGTCAAGCGCGTGCTAATGTCGCCCCCAGATCAACAACAGAAGTGTGTGAGTTGATAGCGCGATGAAATTGATCATAAGGCGGTAATTCATATCTTTCATCTTGCAAATAATAAACGTCAACCGAATTGCATACGAAAAGTGATAAAAAAAAGCACACCGAACAAATGTGTCGGCCAGTCAAAAGTGTACATTTACAGCAGTAAAAGTAGTAAAAGTAGTAATTGTTGTAAGCCGCAATGGCTATCGCCGCGAAAATGAATTATGTGATGATTTCCTTGTCAATTTTTGGCAAACTATAGCACAATGATGTAGCACATCACTGATGCCACAGAGAGAGAGAGAGAGAGAGAGAGAGAGAGAGAGAGAGAGAGAGAGAGGAAGAGAGAGAGAGAGAGTAAATCGACGAACTAAACAAAAAAACATAGGGAAATATACAAAATCATCATCGTCACGGGCAACAAAACAGTGTGTGAGAGAATAAAAAAAAAGTTATTTAAAGAGCACTTTGCCGATTTAGCGAAGTTTCTCTTTTTCACACAGTACGCGAAAAAAAACTCACCCGAAGAAGAACACAACAACAAAATCAAAACGAAAGCAAATTAAGAACTGAAGAAATTAAGAAAAAATAAATACTCGCATAATACTTTATTTTGTGCCATCGCCGCCAATATTCCTTTGCGCATTTTCTTTAGTTTTTCCTCCCGAAAATTTTATTTTTCTCAAATGTCGTTCTGTTTTTCTCCCTATCTTGCTCTCTCCCTCTCTCCCTCTCTGTCGCTCCCAAACACCAACAAATATGACAATGCACAAGACAAATCACATTTCTTCGCTCTTCTATCTAGTCCCACTCGGCTGTTGACTGAATTCGCGGCTAATTTCACAACCGTAAAGTGGACTTAGTTGTCTACATTCACAACATGTAAATTAATGCTTTTGTTATGTGAACACGAATTTGTGTTTTCACTGAAATTGAAACAAGGAATTATTGCACATTACCGAGCGCGCACACGTACATGCCCGGCTACCCATGCCACGAATGATGTAGTATGGTTGAGCGCAAATTTCATCTAATGAGAACTTTTTGCACGCACCAGAACGACGTGCGACAGCGGAATCAAGCGTTTTTGTGCGTTTAAGTGAATTTCAATTTTACACACGACAAAAAAAAGAAGAAGAAGATGGCGGAAAACACGCTCGATTTAAGCCAGAGGGATTACAAAACTATTGAAAAAAATTGAGAGATGAAAAATAGCAACATCCAAACGGCTGAAAATATAAATATTCATCATTTTGACGAATTAGCATAAGGTTCGGCGGATGTGTGTATATTTTATGTTCAGTATTTGCGTAGCAAAGAAAAAAAATGAACAATATTTCGCAGAAAAGTCGATCGTTCGTTCGATTGAATTGTGAGATTTGAAACACCGTAAAGAAAACGCAGAATGCTCAAAACTGTTCGAATTGTGCAACGCCTGATGACCGTGGTCGTGACCACATCATATACACATATCATATTCATAGCAACGTCACGTCAGAGTTCAGCCTCGACGATTTATCTGTTTTTTTTTTTGCGAACTCGGATCGATTCGCATTGAATGTGCGAGAAAGAAAATCAGCCATTATTATTCATCAGCACGATGAGCAAGAGCGGAAAATAAAGTAAGTGAATAAAAAGCAAAAGGAAATCAGCCAAACAACGAAACAAAAATGAAACATCCAATTTTTAGCAACAACCGAAATTAAAGATCAAAACTTGAAATAGATCGAAGCAAGAAAATAAATAAATAGAAGCTGAAAGAAAACAGACGCGCACACAAGCAATACATGTGTAATAGTAATTAAGATAAAGAAGAGCGCCATTTTTTGGATCGCACAAAAACGCTGAACAAAATTGGGAGAGAGAGAGAGAGAGAGAGTACAACAGCATCATCAAGGCGGCCATCGAATCAGTCAGTCGGGTCATTTTCCTGCATTTCGTAAAAAAAAGAACGTTGGGCAGAAATAATCACAAAAACAGACGGAAAAAAAAGTATTCGAGTGGTCGAAGCCGTTTTGGTTTTCTTACTTCATTCCCTCTCTATCTCTTTCGCTCGAACAAAAGAGGAGAAAAGAAATGAAATGAAAAAGGCGGTAGAAGTCGCAACACAATTTGTTTATTCAATTAAATCTAAAAATATTTGATACATATTTAATAACGTAGCTGTAACAATGTAGTGTGTGCATATATGTAAAAGAGACGAAGAGAGGGAGAGGGAGAGAAGGAAAGGCGAAGCACTTCGGTTGCCATTTTCAACGTCGATTGGTCGAAAGACCATTTCGTAATAAATCGAAACGGTCATTTTCCAAAAGCTTTCAAGCGTTAAAACATTATTCAAACAGGAACACGAAGCAGTCAAGAATTGAATGCGATCTACGTGCACGATTCAACCGAATGACGAAATTAAATGAGCTATCATCGTTGTGTTTTTTTCTTTCTTTTTCATTCCTTCGTTGTAGCTGTTGCTGCAATTGGGCCTGTGTGCATGTGTGTGTGTGTGTATGTTGGACGGGTGCTTGAGAATCCGCCTCAATTCATGGTTAAGTCAAGAGTTTTTCATCCATTTTTTTTCTATCAAAAAGCTGTAATCAAATATAAGAATAATCCCCCGACTTTTTGATTGCGGCAAACATAAGAACTCGGCAATAAATTCAATGAAAATTGTTAACGAAATGATTTTGGCCTGAAGTGACATAAGCTAAGTACTAATATATGTGTATACTGCACTCAACGTCATTCAGCCAACAACAAAAGGATTTGAACGCCATGAATCATGAACTTAACGACGACGACAAACAAACAGAAGAGAAAAAAAAATTATATTTCATTTGGAATTACACTGCCCGAGAGATAGAGATAGAGATAGAGAGTTCCGAATGCGATTCCCATGTGCATTTTCATGCCCATTCATATGACGACTCATCACTTGTCTCGTTGTTCCTTTGTTAATGCTCTCCTCTTTATCTTGTTGTGAGTGAAAATTGTGAAAAAGGCGGAAAATATAAACACGTACACACCACACAAGCTCTGGTGCATGATTCTATTCTCGAGCTCAAAGTACCAAGTCCAAATTTCCCAGATTTATTAAAGCACAAAACAAAGAAATGCTACACTTATTGCGTTACATTGCAATAAGAATCACTAGACTGCACAAAAATGGATCACAATGGGATGATGCGTTTGTTTTGCAAGGCAGATACAATGGCTAAGAAAAACAACAACAACAATAGCAACTGCGACAGCAACAGCAACAGCAATGCTTTTACAAATAAAACGACATGGACGTTTTGTATAACTTCGAACCTTGTTAAATAGTCGTGTTCACGAATCGACCCGTGTGACAATGATAAAAACTTCCATAAAATCATATGCAATTTACGAAATAAAATTGGCTCGATATTATTACGTTATAATACCAGCAGCAACAACAACAAATCAGCGTTTATTTTTATATCATTCATTGGATGGAGATTCAGCAACAGATTTTCCGTTTGTCTGTGCTGCATGAAAACTGAGTTGTCAAAAAAAAGCAAAATAAATAAATCAGAGCAAAACATTTCGGATTGGTTTGCCCGGCTGCGGTCGAACGTTGCAGATCATTTGTACGATAAATAAAGCACCGATGAAATTAAGAGAAACACGATGGCATGAAAAGAGAGTAGGAAAAAATAAAGCTTATGGCCGAGAGCAAAGGAGCGTGAACGAGAGAGCAAGAGCGAGATAGACTCACATCCGAAACAGACATAGGCGGCTGTGAAATGTGTCTATGCGTTAGGCACAGTGCTTCATTATGAGCAAAAGAGTTAGAGAAAATATTACTGTAAACATGTTATAAAATGTTTTGATTTAGGACTACGCGCAAACCAAAAAAGAAAACGTAGTAAATGTTTCGTGACAGATTTTTTGCTTTCGGCTTTTGTTTTATTTGACTTGTTGTTTCTTCAGTGTGTTGCTGTTGTTGATTCTTTTCTTCTCTTTTTTTCTCTCTATTTATTTCGTTGATTTTTCACTCTTAAAGCCGACTTCAGTTTCATATTGGGCTGGGTTACGACGGTGATTTTAGTTCTTCTTCGTTCTCTCTTTATTGTCCACCGCAGTTTTATTTGCAACATTAAATTTCAATTCCTTTTATTTTTATATTCGAAAGAATGAACTAGAAACATACGAACATACGTAAAACATGTGCCCATTTCAAATGTGAAATCGGCTGTATATTTCGGATGCGTCGTGGTTGTCGTCATCGTTGTCGGAAAATACAAAATAGCCCGCAAACTATTTTGTTAGCAAATTCGTTTCCTGATTAGAGTATGGTGCGTTAAACTAATAGAAAAAAAAGAGAGAGAAAGAGAGAGAGAGAGAGAATGAGCAAACAAAAATAGCTTTCCGAATGATCTGACCGCTACACATTTGATGGATACACATTGATAAAATTACGAAGTTTACCGCAAAAACTTTCGATATATGTTATCATCAATTTCGCAAGCGATTAGCATACATTTGGGCGTATTGCCGTACAAACTTACGCTAACACAATACTCACAACACGATACAGCACAGAAAAAGCCTTCAACTTGAGCAATTATCGGGATAGAGTGTGTGTGCGTTGTGTTATCGCTTAGTTTTAGCATAACGGAAATCTTATGCATTCAATTAGCTTGCAATTTGTGTGTACGGAAATTGTTGTTGTTGGTGTTTTTTGTGTCTTCTGCTCTTTTTTATGTCCTAACCGAATTGTAGCTGCATATTTTGGCAACATATCGAAGGATAACCATAAAATCAAGCCACATGCTCATAATCCATCTGCACAAAAGTATCAGATGCAATTACAAAGACTTTGCCAAATGCATTGCAGCAATTACATGAGATGCTCTGACGACAAGCAAAACAAAACAAAACAAACGAGACTTTAGACTTTTATCGTCAAAAGTTCTGCTATAAACAGATAGTAACGTAGCCTAATGCAATCTAAATTCAACTAATGGATTGATTTTCCACTTCGAGGAATTCATAGATCGTTTCCTGCACTGTTCATTCTTTTTCCCTTGTTCTTACGATTTCAATCGAAAATAGAACGAACCAAGATACAAAACTTGAACACAAAAAACGAAAATGTGTCGTCACTTTTGAAAAATGAGCGCTCAACATGAAAATTAGCAATTTTTAATAAAACAATGTAAACAATGTCGTGAAGTGAAAATGTATCAAGCGTGAATTTTTCGGATTTCGTAAAGTAAAAACTATTGCGTCGATTTGGAATGTTTCTATTTTTGGAAAATTGATGAAGAAAAATTTGAAATATTCTCACCTTGTATCCACAAAATTGAACTAGATACGACACCACAAACTGTTGACTGAACTTGAAGTCAACACATACACACATTATTTTAGAATGATATACAATTCTTGTTGCCGTTTGTTTTTTTCTTAACCCGAATGATGCACCAATAAATGAATAAACGACAGAATGATGTGACTTAAGCTTATTTATTTATTTTGTCGCGCCAAACTAATCACATTGTGAGAAACATTTACGATTTGTTGTGACATTTTATTATATTTCACACGTTCGAATGAAGTGACAGCGCTCGAGTACATGAGCGCGATGCAAACGGTGTTACGGCTCAATTGCCACACAGTTGTGGTTTGCCATTGTGAATATATTTGAAATACTCCGATTGGAATGAAAATGGGCATTTTGAATATGTAAACAACAAATAATCTGATCGATTATGATTCCCACAAACCGCTTTGGAAATTATGGATTTCCGCTTATTTCAGTGCATTTAATCCGATCGATTATTAATGATAATAAACGCCATTAATGGCCTTTTCATCCATTTAACCGAAAACTAGATTCTTTTTTGCGTAACTGAACCAATTTTTTCGCTATGTTTTCATCAAACAAATAAAACGTTGTTCAGTTCAAGGTGAAGTGACGTTATCACTACGAGCAACGAGCGCAAAAACAATATCGGCCAAAATAACATACACACACACACACTCGGTATATCCGATGAATCAAATCGCAAAAAGTGACTTTGTATACTGAAGCGAACTAGATTTCTGCAAGAATATTCAGATCAAATGTTTGCCACTTTACGTTTGCATATGTGTTGATATCCACTCTGTGTGTATCTCCATTGAAATTGGATTCTATGGATGCCACCGGATTATTTCTATAAATCATTTTTTGAATTTTTCATCCAACGCATTGTTCGTTGCGGAGTTAAATATAAAATGCGTAAATATAGGACTAATTTTTTGCGAGTGGAGCGTTGCCATTTGGCGATGGCGAGTGAGAGAAGGAGAGCGATAAACGTGTGATAGACGAAAAAATGTTGTAAATTCTATTTGGCTCTTCTACAGAGGTCATTTCATCAAAATAAAAAATAATAGGCGCCTATATGTGGTTATATGCATACACACCGGTGGTTGTGTTCGCCGAATTCTGGCACATGTTACCGATGAAGAAAGAAAGCTGTGCGAAAAAAAAAAGTTCAGAGAAAGAAAATATACAAATTCAGCTACAAAAATATATAGATTCAGCTAGAAAAAAAAGCAGTCATACGGTTCTCTTTCATTGGGAAAGTGACAAAAATTCATAGTTCTGTAGATCCGCTTTCGTCAGGATCAATCGAAAAGATGTCCCAAGTTTTGCCGCGATGCTCATTGAAACAATGACAATTCAGCTTCCGGCAACACAAACTGAATTTACGATCCTTTTCATCAGCATCACGGCACATCGCTTACATCCGCATCAGTACGTAAATCATTCGATTGCCAATTTGGCAACGGATTACAACATCTTCATTCGCAACTGCAATGAACGCGCACAAATTTGAAACCGTGAATCTCGGTACGATAATTAGACAATTCGCAGCAAATGTTGTTGTTGCTGTTTTTGCACGGGACTGAATGTTTACCTATGCGCCGTACAAGCATTCAACTTGTTAAACATGCGAATGAACACATGCATGCTGCAGATCTCTGCACGTGTTCACATTATTTCATCAATCAAAGAAGAGTTGGTTGACACGGGCCGCAACTGTGTAAAAGATGCGTCAAAATCCAATCGATTGAAAGCAAAACCATAACGGAAATGTTGTAGAACAAGTCTAATTCGAGCCGAGTGGAGGTGAATGTAGAACACAGACAATTTTCCAGTCAACTTGAATTATATTCAATTCTCAATACAATTTCGTATGGACATATTAAATCACTGTGAATTTTTGCCCGTCAAACAAACAATGCGATAGCAAAAAAACCTAAGCGCAATACAGTGCTCCTATTTTTCTCCCAAAATACACAAACACACACACACACACAAAGACCAGTGTTAGCACCGGATTTAAATTTAAACCGAGTCTGATGACTATTTTTAGCATTCGGATGATCTATTTTTAGCGAAAAACAATTTCTGGTGCGATCGAGAGCTGCGATTATATTCAAAGGCTGTTCCGTTTGTGTGCGTGTACGTGTCGTCACAAAGCTACGACAAACACGTGATGGAATATTTTACTCTTCATTTTTTTGTCAAAAATCGATGGTGATTTAAATTGGTCTCTCACTCTTTTGTTCTCGGAAAGCTCAATCGCTGGAATCCATTTTGTTGAATGTAAAACACATTACGATGGCAGATCATCTTCCCGGAAATTGTTTGTTTTTACTTTTATTTTTGAACTAGTTGAACAACGTGAACTTTTGCGAATGGCCATGACAACAAAATGGCATATCAATCAGCTCGTCTCATTGAGCCGTATATTTTCTGATGAGAGACCATGAAAATTGCTCGTGTAATGATGAACGTATGGTGGGTTTTATGTAATCGATGAAAATAAAAATGTGGTAAAAATATTGGTAAATCAATCCTTGTTAGAGAAATTGAACACTCTTCACATTTTCCACGCACGCAAACCGTGTGAAAAAAAAAGCGAGAATTTGTTTGTGGCGATCGCGTCATCGATTGTCGCGAATAACACCTGATGTTGCTTGAAAGGTGTGTAGGATTCAAAAGGAGCCAATACAAACAAGCAAGTAAAATGACCGACGTCTGATGATGACGAAGTCAACAAGATGATTTCCCGTTTTTTCAGATGCTTCGATGGGCACAACTCCGTTTGGATGTATGCGTCACTGCATTATACTCCAATAGGAAAGATTCTATGGAATTTGATGTGGTTGTGTGTGTGTGTGTGTGTGTGTGTGTGTGTGCGCGCGTGTATGTTTGTGTGTATATAAGCCTAAAAGGTGAGAGAAGATGCTATTGCTTGGGGCTTCGTCAATCGTACACGTATGAATATCGGCTGCGTTGTTGGCTCTTCTTTTCTCCTCTATGAAAAATATGATGTGAGAGGAAAATATTGACGCGCTTTTCGTAAAATCTACCGAGCGCGCACTCCATAATAGCGCACCACGACACACATATGCAAGGCATTCACAATCATCGCGCCATTAAGATTCATCGCTGTACATTTGCCATCTCATTTCACCGTTCGATCGCTCTCTTTCCATCCGACTCAACCAACAAATTTTCGTTTGTATTTTCATCCGATTTTTTTTTTCCATTTATCTATTTTACGTGAATTCATTTTTCCACCTCGTATTTTCAATGGGTGCCATGCCGTTTAGTTGAAATTTGAGTGTTGTTGATGCAAGAACTTGCGAGACAAAACAGAAATTTTTTTGTTTCCTTTCTTTTGCTTTCACATTTATTTGATGTGAATAAAAATCTATATTTTTGTTGGTCTCAGTGATGTTTCGTTGGATAAAATTTTTGGTTACGGTGTGATTTCTTACTTCTCGCCCGCGATTTCAATTTGTGAGCTCCGTGTTTATATTTGTTATAATTTTTTTTTTTTTTTTTGGTGTGACTATTCGAAATCGTTTGGGGACTTTTCGGACATTCTATTCCATTGTTTGTTGAATTTTGAACGCCTTTCGATCAACGCAAAAAATGTTTTCAATGTTAGTTCAATCGTACGCGTGTGACGCGCTCTCTGCCCGACGTTTTTATACGTGATTCGAACGATATCGAAAGGAGAAAGAGAAAAACGTCGATTTTTTTTCCCAACATACCATTTATTATTTTCTCCTTTATTATAAAACGATAATCTATCGGGATTTTTTTTTCTCGTCAGTTATTGTGACACAGGGTGAAAATAAACGAAAATCGAACAAAAACAACGAATGAAAAAAGTACATTGACGATTTGTTTTTTAGTTTTTGTTTGGGAGAGTTCGGAGTTGATGGTGAAGATAGTCCGGGTATGGTCATGTTTACAATCATTTGCATTCGGCCAAGCATAAATTAAAATTCGGGAATTGTGGTGTTGACAAAGCGAATTGTTGTGAAAAAAAAAACAAAATCAAATATAAAAGCCCATTTGAGTGATGATGAAATAAATCAATTCGAAAAATTCTCTTGAAAGAAGGAAAAAAAGTGGTGAAAAGAGAGAGAGAGAAAACAATTGAAACGTTGACAACAAAGAGTGTGATTGTGTGCTACAATAAAACCGTGTGGTTCGCTTAACGTTGAGGATTTATTTTATCGTTGCTAATTGAATTTCATAACAAAACGCATCAAAATGGCTGGATCGGAAACGGAGATTGAAGAAACGACCGAAGAATGGACCCGCACGATTTCGGTGGTAAAGAAAAAAAAGAAGGTGTGTATGATAGTAATCAGAATAAAATCCTTGGCATTGTGTGAATAGAAAAAGACGTCGCATTCTCTTTGATGCCATCTTAAATCCATCAGCACGAATTAAGCTGAGACAGAGCAATGTTGTGAACGGCAACGACAACGCCGCCGTCATTTGAATGAAAGAGTCGTGCGCTCGTTTTTGTATTACAAGTCAAAAGTCAAAGTTAGAAGAAATGAAATCAGAATACTCCGGAGTGCATCTAATTTTAGCCGGGCTATAAATTGAGAAAGCATCATTAAAAACTCGAATGAACGCTGATTCACACTCACTCTCTCTCTCTCTCAGTGTGTTTTTGTCCCCTCGTCAAAATAAAAAGACTTTCAATTTCATGTACAAGTCACGTCTAATTCTTGTTCCCAATGCGCTGTGTCGTTGACAAATACACGCGCGCGCGACTCCTCTCGTTGGGAAGAGAGTGACGAAAATGTACACAAAATTCAACGAATTTTTTTTTCTACTTCTGCTTCTTCTACCAACGAGCGGTTAGGTCTTTACCTCTAAACATGCGATACACATCGTGTACGTACTAATGTCTAAATTTATCAAATGTGTGTTTGCGTATTGATTTTGTGAGTTTTGAACAAGATCGTTCGATTTTCGGGCCGGCATGTTTATTACGAAAGCCGATAAACAACATACAGAGTGGAGAAAAAAAACCCTACGAAAGAAACGCCAATAGCTGCAACAGTCCGAAACATTTCAACACAACAACATGCTGCATTTGCCGAATGAGAGCGCAAATTGCATTTCGATTTGTGAGTGCAACGCTGTGCCAGCAGATCACACTGAGCCGATCACTTCTCGTTTTTCTTTCAATAAACAGATATCCTACATCTTTGAATGATACAATCATTCGGTTTGGCTGTGATCTGCGGCTCATTTAAGAGCAGGATTTTAACATGTATATTTTCATTTGTTTTATTAATGTTCCACGAAACAGCAAGTTAACGATCGCAAATTAAACTGAAATATATATATATATATAATAATGAAGAAAAAAAGTACTCTCATTTGTGCAGATGAAATGCATCACAACGACATGGTTAAGTCAAGGAAAAAGATCGTCAAAGTAAAACAAAAAGCGAAACGAAACGGCAAAAAAAATGAAGTGGAAAAACGGACAAGCGACGATGCGATGTTAATTGAATCATAAGCAATCCTTTTGGGCTTATATCATGACTGGCGATTCTCCAAAGCGACACGTCGCCTTACGCCAACAAAAATAATCATGTATGCGCGAGATGAAACAGCTGATTAATTCGGTTCGAAAACGCTTGTATTTATCTTTCATCTAGAGACGAAATGATTTCTTTTCATTTTTTTTCGGAATGGCACACTGCCAACTTTGATGCGAAATATCCTTCGAAGAAAAACCCATCGAAATGTTGTTTTTCGCATTTTGTTTTTGCTTCACGAATCTCCATCTTTGGTAAGAAAAAAAGTGAAATGAGAAAAAATATAAACAATAATAGCGACGGGTACAAGACGAATGAGAGTGGTGCGTTCCGATGAAATGGCATACGATCGCCGGGAATTCCGAGGGGATTTTGGTAAAAATTCCATTGGAAAATGGAGAAATTACCGCGTCAACGTTGAATGCGACGCAATGAACTCAATTCCTTTGTCTCGTGGCTTATTCAAATGGAAATTGTGCGTAAACAACGAGCCCGTCCTGTCAATTCCTCCTCTTCTTCTTCTTTGTTTCCTTTCAAATCGAAGAATGCGGAAAATGTAATTTAAAAGCCTAACGGAAAAATTTGATCATGTGATTCGACTTTGCACTTTTTATCGGCGATGAAAAATAGAAAACAAGCATACGTTTGTGGAAAAGAAAAGGTCAGGAAATGTGCCAGGCAATTTTGGAGTATTTATTATCTTAATTTATATATAAATTATTGGCTCATCGTCGTTCATCAATGCGTGCACATGGTGAAGAAAAAAAATTAAATTACGTTGAAATTTTCTTGTTCATTTCTTCATCGATTTGTAAATGTTGCGTTGCTTGAACACAAAAGGAACGAGACGTGAAAAAATTGTGAAGAAACACGCGAGCAACAAACAGAGAAAGAGCGAAGCACGAAACGGGAAAATAAAATCGACACTTAAGAGCCTCCTGTTTTCTCTCGTCAAAGAGAGAGGGAGAGAGAGAGAGGGAGAGAGATGCATGTGTGTATGGGTATAGTTGAGACACACACACAGAGAGTGCGAGTGAGAAAAAGTACTATAAAAGAATGTTGCGCATATTAATTTGCGCACCCCAGTTCGTTGGCAACGTCCCAAAGGTCTATACTTGGAGATCAATGCGCGCATGATGATTTCTCGCGTCGAAATTATTTATAACCGCTTCGAACGGATCTTTGTGTGTTTCGTAGTCGCGCGCGTGTACACTTCGAGAGAGAGAGAGAGAGAGATAGAGCAATGGAGCAAGAGTGATGAGCATGTGTGATTGATCATGCATCTATACACACATGGCATATTCAGCTGAGGATATACATCAATATATTCCACACACACACAGTTGGAATGGGCAGCAAAGGATCGGTGGCGAGACGCGCTTGCATCGTCAAGTGATTAAAATCGGCTTGATCCGCCAATTTGTTTTCCACAACAACCAAATCGCCGCCGATCATTACGTTAGCAGCAGCAGCAACAGTAGTATCTATGATAGCAGGAATTTCGATCATGCACACCGTGATCACCGTTGACTGTGGTTATTTATTCCATTGCCATGTCATTTTCGCGGCGGTGTCCTATTGTCATATCACTCGGACAATTAGCCGCAAACACGGACATACTCTCTCACTCTGTTTTAATCTCTGTTTAATTTGCGAACTACTTCCGTGCATCCAAAATAACATCGTCTCGTTCTTCTTCTTCTTCTTTCTCTCTCCTCCGAATTTGTTTATTAGCGCCAATGATTTATAGCCGCAAAATGTGCACTTGCAAAGCTCAAACTGCAAATCCTCAACGTCATTTATGCTCTATCTCCCAACAACAACAACAACAACAAGAATACGCACGATAAATTAAATGAAATTAGCAGAAAATTGTAAAATCAGCGATAATTTTTTTTTGTCAAACAATAATAAAAATCCCGTGATGCTGTTCACTTTAATTTTTCGTTGTTGTTGTTGTTGTTGTTGTTAATAAAAAATACGATCATTAATTCATTTCAAGCGTATTTAGTTTCGAGCTGTAAATGAAATTTTGTGACTGGCTCATTCGATACGTTTAATTTAAAGACGACTGTTTTGTGAACGTCCTCATTCATTAGATTGTCGTGTGTGTGTTTTGGTTCACCATTAGAGAGAAAAACAAGACCGCAGAGCTTCGCTCCGCTCTGCGTTCTTGAGTTTTTAGTTACTTAATCTATTTTGTTGTTTCACAACAAACTATTTTTTGGCGCACTACATGAAATGTATTTCATCAAAGTAACTTTGAAGTAATATATTTATTTGCAAAATGAATTACAAGATCTTGGTTTAATTTCTTTTTTGAAATATACTGCCTTTGGTTTAAATTAAATAAATAATATGAGCATTGAATCTAAAATCACTTTAATTCTGGTCAAGACTCAGAAAATATTATACGAAAAATTAATGTAATTTTTAAACAACATTTGATAATAAAAATTTGATTGGCGCTTTGAGATATTATGCACCTATTTGTCGTTACTGCCACTGTTTTAAATTAAATAAATAATATGAGCATAAAATTCAAATTCACCATAATTTGTTTCATCACTCAAAAAGTATCTAGGAAAAAAAGAGCAGATTAGTAGCTCTACATTTCATGTAGTGCTAAAAAGTGAATTGTAACTGCTTGTGCAGCATGTGAATTCACATCGACACTCAAATCGAACGAGTACAACTGCACAAAAAATATGACGAAACGATTTACAATAATTATTTCTTCTCATATGGTTTTTTTTCCTTCTCTTCTCCTCAGTTTATTTCGGTTTTAATTTTAAACGTTTTCTAAATTTACAATCAATATATTTTACGTTGGCTTTTGCTCATTTGCCTCACGTTGTTGCAATATTGCGAGATCGTTTTCGGTTTTTGCAAGCATTTTCGTCGACGATCCATTTTTCGCTTCGCCATTTTCTTTCTGCGCTCCGAATTGCAACGTAGAATTATTAAATATTACAACTTTCCGTGGGATCTCGATGCAAATGGGTTCAGTTGATGGGCAATACACAAACAGAGAGAGAGAGAGAGAGAGAGAGAAAGAGAGGAGAGAGAGAGAGGGGGAGCGAGATGCACATAGCCCGCCAACATGTTGCTCTACCGCTTGATAATCTAGCATTGATGCTGTCACCGCTCCGTCGAATCAGCCATCAAACACATTTATGGGAGCCGCTTAAATGAAACATATTTATACAACAAAATAATTATAATACATGAATATTTAGAACATATCGAAGAGCCCATGCACATCAATCGATTTAAAAATAAAACACGTTAAACGCCCAAAATGAAGAATGAATAGGCAGAAGAAGAAGAAGAAGAAGAAAAAAGTTGAATAACACAAAGCATCGCAAGCAAAAATTGAATGGGCCGAGAAAAAAAGTGAAGCAATTTCAATGAGGGGGAAAAATTCATACAGTGAAATTGGACAAAATAAGAAAATAAACATCGTGACACACTCACTACTCTGTGAGTTTTTTTGTTGGGTTTCTATCTCTCTGCCTGCTTCTTAAATGACAAATGTCGCAAGAATCCATCGACAAAACAGTAATTAGGATTTTGAGTTTGAGTGCGGATCTTTCACACGAAAAATCATTAAAAAAATGACAAAAATTGCAGCTAATCTTGGTTCTTCTCATCGTTTTTTTTCTCCTCTCTGTTTGTTGCTTTTTTTGAATTGCCGCTCATCCCACCGACACATTTTAGACGCGCGAAATACAAACGTCATAAATATGTGGTGATCTTTTTTTTCGTTGTTGTTGCTTTTAGCTTGAAAAACCCGCCGGTTTGACGTCAGTTTGAACCATTTTTTTTTCTTCGAATTTTCTCATTTGGTTGGGATTAAAAACCGGTGTAGAAGAAAACAAAAATTCGTTCGAAATTAACTGAAAGCAGATAGAAAATCGGAAGAAAGGCAAATTCAAACATTTGCTTCAATGACAATATTTCAAACGAATTGTCAAATTCATGCACTGGCACGAGTTGTCTTTTTCTAACCGTAAACGGCAATAGGCATGGTGAAGGATGCGCACCAGCTAGCCGTTTCACTCGCACAGTCATGGATTTGTGTTCGGCAATACATTGCCCATATACGGTATATTCGGATTAAACACACAGTGAAACACGGAAGTGTCATAGTGTTGGTTCCCCACCGTATGTTCGATGCTGAGATTCAATACATTGGTGCGTAGCTGTGCATGTATGAAGCACACACGCACACACGCACACCACAGAGAGGCACGAGCACACACAGGCGAATGGCCTTTTGCGTTGCCATTACACACCACACACCACACACCATACCAAATACGAATGCCATATATGTATGTGTTATTTTGCCATACGAATTTCGGCTAACAACCATTTTGATTGGACGGTTAATAACAATACCAAACAAGTAAAAAAGTAAGCCAATTTTTTTCTCTCTCTCTTTCTACAGTTTGTATGTGTATGAGTGCCCAATTTGACAGATTCAAAAGAAAACCAAACGATTAAAACCACACAAGATATTTCGAGAAAATTAAAACCTCCAAACCATACATTGACAATTCTTGTTTCCATTACAA